GGCTTCCTCTGCAACCTGCAATGTTTCACAACCACCCCGGGCAGGGCAGGGTCATCTTCATTTCTCCCAGACAGAGATGACTCTGGAGCCTCCTGTAGATTTTTACAGCACCCATGCTGAATCGGAGGGCAGACCAGCTTTCTCTCTGGCTGTCTCGTCCATCTGTCCTCTTACCGCAGAGTGACGCCACCCTTATATCCACCCATCCCTCTGCACAAGTGTCCCCATTTACACTGCGCATGCCCAGGTTCTCTGGGCCCAGGTGTCCATAATTGCAGGTGCTCGCGCAAGGCCACACAGGTGCTGGTCATAGATGCGCATGGCGGGAGGGCAAAAAAAAGCCTGCTAACCTCACTTACCCTACACGCAGTTTGCATGAGCCCTACCAAATCCTCACAGCACAAATCTCTGGGATCCCTCCCTCCTCCCCACTCCAGTCCTGATGGCCCCAGCCTCCTCCAGCTGAAGGCCCCTCTCTCCTCTGCCAGCCCCATTTTGTAACCACAGTCATAGAATACTGCAAAATGTTAGGTTTTCCACATCCCTCCTCTGTTTAAAAGCATCCCACTGTGTACCTTCTTCTATTTCACCCCAAATTGTGGTTTGATGCTCTCCAGCAGCAAAGGCACCCCATGTGTTAAAGGTCACCCCATCACTCCCCTAGATTCTCCCTTCTGTAATCCACCCCAGTCCTCTGCCCCAGGCCAGCCTGAGCGGCAATGCCCGTTTGGCCTTCCGGTTCTTCCCAAGGGACTGGACTGTCATTTTATGAGGCAATAATTCTAGAGTCAGACCAAGTGCCAATCACTTTCCTCTCTACATTTACCGTGCTGGTCTGGGAAGTTGCCACCCTGTTTCCTCATCAGAAGCATGAGGATGATAAGTCATTTCTGCTCCCTAATAACTCCCACTTCCTTGAGAGAATTAATTGCAAGGATTTGATTTCACAATTTGGAATCCAACTTTCTCACTCCTTGTTGTAAGGATTAATCCTCATTCACACAAGAAGCCCTGAAGCAGTACCTGGTCCCAGTGCATGCTAGCTTGAGGTGTGATTTTAAGTTTCTTAAAGGACATCAAAAGATGACCATCATGCAAGCACCTGAGCTGGGGAGGTTCACCGTAGGCTCCAGAGATCTGAAGGAGAATTCTGGAGCCTTGGGCATTATTGTCACAGGTTTAAATGGTGAGCAGGGATACACCAGCCTGGCGCCCTGCACACCTAACCCTCCTTTCTCTGAGCACCTCTGGTGTTCTCTCGCCATCTCATCCTCTTGCAGCCCTCTCTGAGTGACGCAGCCCTACAGCCCTCTCTCTAGACTCAGCTGTGCACCCATGCACACGTGCACACCCACGCTCAGGTCCGCAGCCAGGTACACTATGGTAACAAGATCACAGAGGCGGATGGTAAAAGCCCAACCAACTCGTTTACCCTACAATGGCTGAGGTTTTCTCTCTTTGCAGGAGCTCATGGGCTTTCTGGGTCTTTCTGCACCCAAAGTGCAACTCACAGCTGTGTAAGGCACAGACAGACCCCTTACCCACCCTCTAATGATGTCTACGGGTCTCACCTGAGCTCACAGCAGAACGAGATGGGGACAGTCCCGTTCCCCCGCCAACCCCCTCCTCCCTTGAACAGCCCCTCCAAGTGTGGTGAGTGCAGCTGGCAGCCGGAGGCTGCTCCTTCTAGTCAGATCAACTTTAACTAGAGAGCTGAAGGGAAGCAACACCTACAAAAAAATGTGTTTAAAAAAAATGGTTGAGTGGTAAATGTGCAAATGAGGGAAGTGTGGATTGTCTGGGTTTTTATTTCAATTCTATTTTTCAGCGCCTGCGAATGAGGTAAGAGGTGGTTTCCAGTCTTCTGTTATTATTCACAATGCTACTTCTTTGCTCGGCCACTGTCTTAAATCTGTGCAGTACAACTGGAAGAGAAATTCCTAGATGACAAATTACAGTCATACGAGTATTTTTAAAAAGCTTTACTTTTATTTATGCGTGCATGCAAAAGCTGGGGTGTAGGCCAGAGGTGTGGGGGAATGACAGGATTCACCAGAGTGGGGAGCAGAGTAGGCAAATGGACTGAAATACAATGCTGAGGAGAGCAGCGGGGAGACAAGAGCTCAGCAGCACCATGTGGGTCACTCCCTGGACTGGGGATCAAACTTTCTGCAGTGACTGGCAATAGCTTTACAGGGAAGAGACTTTAATAGCTGCGCCTCCAGAGAGGCCTTTAAAAAAAAAGCACTTTTAAAAAATTTTTGGCCTTGGGGCCTCCTGGATGTGCAGGGGTGGTGCCTGAAGCTTCCCCACCCCATAAATACCCCAGCAGACTTTCCTGAATGTAGGTGCTAAAGGACAGAGAGAACCTCCACTTATTCTCGTCAAAGAGAATCCCCTAGAATTGCTTCAAACCTGAAGGACAGGTCTTTCCTGTCCAAGATTGTCTTGGCAATCTTGAAAGGCCAGAAACAGGAAAGGAAGAATGAGACCAGAGCCAGTTACATGGTGGTCTGCCTGAACCGATAGCGCCCTCCGGTGCTCTCTCACCTCTGCTCCCTTCATTATAGGGCTCTGCTTCCTCCCTCCCTTTCGCTCCTAAGCCCAGGTCAAGTGCCAGTCATTGTATTTGCTTCCCAGCTCAGCTGTCCAGTCAGGTCCTCCGATACTCTTATTATCACAGTCAACTTGAAATTTCTATTTTCGTCCCATTTGATAGTTCCTCTTTCCAAACAGCTTTGGTCAGTATTTACTGTCCTCTCACACATGTTGAGCATAAAGAGGGGCAAATCTGACTTCTGAGAAAAGCACAGAAAGAGAAAATTACTGCTTAAAGGCCTGATCAACAACTTCAAAGGGAAGTTTGGCAATGGACCCTACCTTCCAGTTAAAACTGACAGCAATTCAACCCACACAAACTGGTGAGAAAAAGGAACTCACAGGCTTCTACAAGCAAGAAGTTCAAAGGTGGAGGCTAACTCTGGCACCCAGAAATGCCCTCAGACCTCTCCCTGCTTTGGGGCTACCTGGCTGCACCCTGCAGTCTGTCCTTTCCTACAGTCCCAAGCTCCTATCTTAGCGATCCTGATAGAGAATCCTGATGTGCAGCGACTCCAGAGAACACAGCAACGTGTCACTTTTTAGCCTTGTCCAGGAATAATTGAAGCCTGGCCCAGGTTAGGCTAATATTCCTTTATCAATGAGCAACCACGACTCCATGACAAGTGCATAACATCCCCCCAGGGTACACAAACAGATGGCCTCTACTTCGCTATTGCTGCTACCAGTCAAGGCTGTGGCTACTGGATGTAGGTTCCTTCCCCCTCCGGCTCACCCCGCCTCCCAGAGTGGAGGGTGCCTGCCTGTGAAACCTTCCTCAAGTCAAAATCCTGTAAAGCAGAAGCCATTACCATGAACTTATGTGGAAAAGTTTCGAGTGTTCCCAGGCCCCCAAAATAGCTTACCAAGTCATACTAAGCAACACAACCTAAAACAGCACTAACACACACAGCCTCAGGAAATAGTTTTCAGGCAAGGGCTGGGGGTGGACCATGCACTACTGGGGAGTGTGCTGAGCTGCTGACTCTAGGTCAGCTGCGGCAAAGTAAATGCTGAACCCTGTTTTCACTTTTGCCAGAAGCATGAAAATCCTCTTCAGATTTCTCACCAGTAGTAAAATAGGCACTATTGTAGCTCTTTCATAAAAGCTGGTGGCATAAAGGGAATTTTCAAAAAGTAGGGGAATCTGTTTGGTTTTTTTAAAGATTTATTTATTTGTGCATATAGAGCTGGGGTACAGGCCAGAGGCTCAGGGGCGGTGAGAGGCTTCACCAGAGA